TCATCTCATCTCATCTCATCTCATCTCATCTCATCTCATCTCATCTCATCTCATCTCATCTCATCTCATCTCATCTCATCTCATCTCATCTCATCTCATACGAGATGTTTATTTTTGACTACATAAAACAGAATATGATTACAGTCTTTCCGTTATTGAAGAATGGTTTTCTTTTTATCCGCCTAGTTTTTCCAGGCAACCAAACAAAATGTTGGATGGGAATGAAAGCGGTTTTTTTTTTCTTCACAACAACACCAAAAATACCCCCCCCACCGCCCAAAAAACAACAACACAATAACAACAAAAAACAAACAATAAGACTATTAAGACCTGATAGATCTATTTCTAAAACCAAACAGATCAGAAAGGTATTAGGTTCAACGGAAATCTTTCCATTTGCTCACCAAAATGAAAAATACTTCGACATGTTAGTGTGCAATGGCATTAAACAGAATGCATTTTTGAAGGATGTGTTTGGCTTGAGATGCTATACAAATATCGTGTATAACAAGATAGTTCACTCCTCTCTCTGAGCCAAGTTAAAAAAAAATAGGTCCTCAAAATTCGGTGGCGCTCTCTTTTTTAAAAGCGCGGACTTTGCGAACAGAGTTACCCTACTTGTGTAAAAAGATAATAAAAGTGAAGCTAACAAACTGTGCCGTTCCTATTCTTCTTCTGGAGAAACGGAAGAGAGCTTCAAAGCAAAGACTGCAGCGCCATCTGAACCAATGCGCGGACTTCCGCGGACACGCTTTTGTGGCGGAGTGAACTATCTTGTTATATAGGATCTTTGGCTTGAGATATACTAAATTTAATATAATGCTTAAGCTGTTTAGTAACATAACAACAAAAGCTGCAGACAATATCATAGCCACACAAACAAGTAGTTGTATTATGAAACATCTTTATGTTGTCTCCGTCAATGAGTCCTTGAAAGAGATGAGTGGGAAGTTTTGTAAGCTCCCGCCTTCCGTCATCTCGTTTTGAAGTTTCGTTGATCAAAAAAAAATTATTATTCCGATAGAAGTATCTGTTGTGTCTGATTATGTCAAAGAAAACTGGAAAAAGGGGTTGGGGGG